ATTGTTATTTTTAATTACATATAAGATGTCAAGTTCCTTTTATAGCCGCGTTTTATATGAATTAGCCTTTGGAAGTATTGTTGTGAATTAACGATGGCTCCCTCCCTGTCTACAATTCGATACAGTGGTTTAAAATTGGTGTTAATTCTGTCCTGGTACATAGCCTCTGGTAAGACTGATACGCGTACAGGAGATTTAGCTCATTCTTTCCAGTGAATCGAAATCTAAACTACGCGACACGAACGCTGTTTTCGCGTATAAGGGATAAGATGATTATAAGGAAGAATAGGACGACGTAGAGTATGTTATGAATGAAATAATTACAGATAAAACTTATTAATCAGCCCGCGTATAAACATATTGAGCTATGGTCTCCTGTGAAACGAAAAAAAAGAAGTAAAATACTTTTCAAAAGTTTATTTTCATAACAAATATTATTTACGAAAACATGGAACGTACTTTCAGAGAGCTCAGATATTGCAAAACCCGTCAGAGGTTTCGGAGATAACCCTCCACAAACGACCCACAAAAAGAGCGGGACTGCTAGTCGCAAATATTGAAAAGAACCCCTAAGAGGTTCCAAAATCATGTTTTGTGGGCGTGGCTCGAAATGTTTTTCACGCGCGCCTAAGAGGTATCAATTCCAAAACAACACATCTTCTTCTGTCACATTTTTTTTCGGCTCAATACCGTACAAGGTAAAGGCTCCCGCTGTGGACACCCAAAGAGATACCAAAACGGCGTTTTTAACTCCTGAAAGGTACAACAAGCAGCCCCGTCATTTTTACATAGGAGTCCTCCCTCGGGCAAGAACCCTCTTTCTTCAGTTTTTTCTCCTATTCCACGTTAAAATACAACATAGGCTGCTTAAAATTATGCAGTCTGCTTTCCAGGGGTCCAATCACTTTTGTTACAGCTCCTGAGTTCTGTTGTTGTTCACTGAAGTGCTTTGTCACATTCTGAATGGTAAATTATCCAAAAAGGCCCAGGACGCCACACAGTACCGGCAAAATGTCACAAAACTACAAAACGTCAGGCAGATCGTGGTATTTTTTGATTCATTTTATTGTACCAGCTAATTTACTAAATGAGATTTAACATGGAAGAGTTTACACGTTATAAGTCATGGATCGTGTTTCTGTTTACTCTGCAAGCTTTTTAAGGTCCTCTACCCATTCCTCTATCGGCCGTATGGACTTACACTGCACGTGAACCTTATTTCCCATTTTTTTCATGATTGGCAGGTTCAATGACATTCTGTCAACATCAGCTGGGTCCTCTACACAAACAACTGCCAGAACCTGTGATAAATACAACATGCAGTGTGCTATAAGCCTCTAAATAAAAACTGCATTGATTTAAGTGGGCCGAGCTGGGGCAGGGATCGAGGAGGGAAAGGAGAGTTGATCCGATTAAGTTATATTTGCACCTAAAATTTTGGTCCATAATAACCAGGAGAATAATTCCAATGTGTTTCCAATTTGAGGTCTAATTTTAGGCACATTTTCGCGTAAAGAATTTTTCTTTCGTGTGACTCGGAACGTTCTCCGAACGATTCCATCATGTTAAACACCAATACAAAAACCTATCAATTCTCGTTGATATATACCTTTCGTTCCGCTACAACTTTCCACAAGTCCAAAATGATTCCCGATTTTTTCGCATCTAGTGCCTCTTTAGCCTCTTCGGCCCAGATTGTTAGAAGATCTTGTTGCGTCATGGCTGTTAGAAAGAAGAAATGACATTGGATGGAATAAAATCAATTAAAAAGTAGTCATTCTGTTAAAAAGATTTCGACGCAATGCGGAGGAAGGAAGGAGATGAGGCGGGGAGGGAGGAGGTGGAGTGGGTGGACTAACGAATGAATGAATTGAATGAATGATAAATGAAATTAGCCCGCAGCATCCACTCAGGGCCAATACCTCGAATAAGTCAAATAAATTAAGGTTACACAATACCTTCGCGGATGCCCTTCATACCTGGTTGTTTTTATGGAAACTACCACAAACTATATATCAATAGAAAGGTTATGAATCGTAGAATTCGGAAAAAAATAACCACTGTTTTGGCTGTACCTTTGTTGAGAAGAAAGAAGCCAAGAAACTAAGAACGACCGATTGTCATTCCACCGAATTAATCGGGTAGAGAGGAAGCCAGTTTTCATGCGGGTTCTCTATCCTGATCGAGCTGGAATTTGGAAGTTGTTGGTGTTTGTGGTGGGGGAACACTGTACCGGGAGAAAAACCCTCGGAGCAAGGCGAGAACCAACAACAAACTCAACCCACATATGACACTGGGCCGGAATCGAACCCGGATAACACATAAGGATCAACACATAAGGATTTCAGTGGTCCGCCAGCGTTCGTAGTGATTATATATAGATTAATATAGTATAAATATAAATATAAATACAAATTTATCGAAATATTTTTATTGCTTGTATTAGCAAATTTTAATTTTATTGTTTCCATTTTTTAGCACGCACATGTTTTAACGAGTTTTTATTACTCCTAAATGTTGCGTGGGTAAATAAAGGATTGTTGCTGTTGTTGACTGTTGAAGTCATGCGTACAAACATCGTTTCTTCCCGCCACTTTGTAACGTTTCTTAATTGGCATCGTGAAAACCTCAATCTTTGCTCTTCAATTTTGGTGATTTCTGAGAGACGACCGAGCTTGACTGCTAATTGCGCCTAGTTACATAGCCTTTTCAAATTATTCCATTAGAGATTCAGTACAACGCAACAAGAAGAATGTTGATTAACTCACCAGAATCGTATTCCACAGTAAACGTCAGAAAATAAAACAATCCTTTCTTCAGATTTGATTTTTGTTCCGCGTACTTCTCTTCGTTTCCAACCCTCTCGCTTACATCAGAGGCAAATCCTTCATATTGTCTAAGAGCTGTGAAGGTTGAGTGAAGCTGGTCTCCGAGGGTCTGGTAAAGAGGAAGTTCAGCAAAACACGTGTCCAGTACTGCCGGTGATTCCACTGACATCACTGTGGAGAACAGCACGCGCAAGCTAAGCTAAAGTGGCTTCTAATAGAAGGAAAGCAACTCGCTTACAAATTAAATAGTCAGTCATATACTACAAAAAGAAAAAGCACAATATTAATCCTGTTTTTCTGGATTGAAGCATACTGTGGTAGCATTAATCACAGTCATTGAGCTCATGTCATCATGATCTCATATCTCTCCCAACCTCATTATCAGGATGTTCCCTCTCACACTGGAGTCATTCTCCAGTTCTCCTCGTAATGTTCCAGCCCGTCCTAGTTCCAACAAACTCGACCCATTAAAATTAACATGAACTGCTTTGTAGTCAAGCGAACGAGTGACTCGATCAGTCATATTATCGGGAAAATAAAGTCACTTGTTAGCAGAAAAAAATTATTTCTGATCTAGTAAACTAACTGCCATCGTACTAGTTTGTTCCTTCATATTATTTGATCTGGTTATCGGATATCTGATTAAAAATTATTCATTTTTTTTTTTACCACCAAGAACGTTCCTCTCTCCAGATATCTGTAGAGTCAAAGAGAAATGAACGATAATTCAGCACACACTATAGCTAAGTTTGTTCAAAGAAAAAAAAAATAACCTGAAGAGGCACGAGGGGACCAAGGAAGCAGGTCGCTTGTTTCTATTTGCTCTCTTCTACCATACCTCCGTCAAGCTAAATAATGATAAATTACAATAATAAGAAACAAGATGCCGAAGCAGAGTCAAAGTTTTAGCCATTACAAGCTTTCGACGCTGGCACAGCGTCTTTCTCAAGTGAATGTGGCGGGAATATATTTGTTACGTGAGCTTGGGTGAAACAAGTCAAGTGCCAAAACATCCCCTTACAGCAAAGATATCAGTGACGTCACCTATTGTTATTAATGTGCCACCCAGAGAACTACTGGCTGGCGAAGCAAAGCATTCTTTAGTTTAACGTTTTGAGTATTTAAATCACAAAACAATGTTTGTAAACAAATATCTTCCTGTAGGGCCGGAAGTTCAAATCCACGGTGTCAATTGAGAGTCGGGGACTGGCACAGAATTTCTAAGGCCTCACGGATTCTCTTTCTGAGCTTACCGTGGTTGTTTTCTTCTCTAGCTATGACAGCCACCTCACTCTCTTCAAACTCTGCTTCGGTATCTTGTTTCTTATTATGTCTACCACAGAGTCGGGAAATAGTATCTTTATTCAATAAATTACAATATTTAGAGAGGAAGCCAAATTAGCCTTTTGCTAGTTTTCATGCGGGTCTTATATCCTGGTCGAATTGGAATTTAGAGATGTTGGTTTCTGTGGGGGGAGGAAAACCGGATAACCCGGAGAAAAAACCTTAGAGCAAGGCGGGAACCAACAGCAAACTCAGCCCACATATGGCCTCAGGCCGGAATCGAACCCGGGCCACGTGACATTGGTGGGAGGCGAGCACTCTCACCACTGCGCCATCCCTGCTCCCCTGCTCTTTTACCCAACATCGTAAGCGAACAGTGAACAGGCTAAAGGCTGTGACGCCCCTTATGACATGACGGCCAAACACTAACGTTTACACGGAATTTTTATACCGGTTTAAGCAGCTTTAAAACTTGAGTATGAAATTGTATCAATAGAGTGAAGTTGTTGTTTTCTTGTAAGTGTAATTTCCTGCTCAAACGTACCGAGTTGAAAAAAAATATAGACAAATAGATAAATGAGAAACTAAAGATTTATATACATCTGTTCTAGACCAAATAAATAATACTAGTCTTAAGAAAGAGCTTTCGCGGATTAACCTGTGTCAAGTGGCCGCCGGCCATTGTCGGCTTTTGCCAGACAATGCACAGTAAAGTATTCGGTCTCGGAAAAAATCGTCCGGCCATGCTAACACCAACATTAATATCACAAATTTCAATAGTGCTAAGGTTATTTCTCTGCATAATATCGGGCATATCGCATTCTTGTCAGAGGAAAATGGTCAGGGGCACCCAACAGATCGTTTCGGTAAATTATCTGTTCGGAAGCCCTTTAATCCCCTCTGATTTTTTGAAGAGAATTGTCCCCTGGAACTTTCGTAATATGAGAAATTTAATATCTGTTGTTTTCGGATTGTAAAAAATGTCGTTTTGGGTACCGAAAAAAGGTCAGCTATCATTTTCGGAAAGGCGATAAGACCTAAGGTTTTCGGGGAATGAACAAAAAAGCCCTAATAAATTCGAGAATACTCAAGTTCCCCTAGAATAACCGAACAGATAAAAAATTCTTAGCGCAACCTAAAATTAACCTACAGAGCTCTAAAAGTACTCCAGATAGCCTCAAACAGCGTTTAAAAACATTTGAGAGAAAACAGTCGTTGGGTGCCCCTGAATGGTATCGCATTGTGGCCCGCAATTAAAGTTACAGTTGCGCCTTCAGTGGTGTCACTTGTCGACATTCAGTAACTGTGGACTTTGGCAGAGCGAAGCCCGCTTGGAACCCGGCTACTGACTTGCCATGGAACATTCGTTCCTAGCCTACTCGGAGACACTCGGGTACAGTCGGGTATAGTCGGGATACGGTCGTGGACCAATGTTTAAAATTATAACTGGGTAACAGTCGATTCTCAGTCGGGAGCAGTGTAGGAAAAACGATACCACTTTGGGATCTGCATCGCGTCTACTGATAAATGCCTCGCGCGATTTTTGTTGGGCTAAAAAGCATTTTTAGAAGAGCTAAAAAGCATTTTTTAGAAGAGGTGAAAATATTGACCGTTAACGGTTTCGTTCTGTAGCTGTTTACCGTGAATATGAAGGATTGGATTAACTGATAAACACTGAGGCAATTATCACATAATTTTAACTGCCATGTCACTGAGGCACATTGAGCGGATATCATTCCCATTTAGACCATCAGTTTCGATTCAAAGGTCATGCCTTCATCGAAGGGTAATATAACTGCTCTTTATATCGACCTCACCAAGAGTGTCCTATTCTGTGCTAGTCATATCTAAATGATGTAAGTTGTCTTAATTTGCATTGTATCCGGAGTTTTTATAGAATCAAAATGGCAAGAAACTGAATTATCATTTTATAATAGCATTCTATTTCAGTCTGTTTGGACAGGGCATGTAAACCAGAGTAAATGTATTTGGCTAATAAACTTATTATAACCGACCGATCGCTAGAGTGATGCCAGGGATACCAAGCGGTCAAATCTTTCCTGAGATAAATGATTCGAAAATGAGCTAAAAGAAAAAAAAAAAAAAAAAACAGGTACAAGTTAAAGGTTTACGCAATATAGATATGCCAATCCACTCATACAATACGACTTGCCCAGATCAAACGACATATATTCTGTATGATGAATACTGATGCGACTTTCTCTTCAGTTGTTGCAACATGATTTTCACTGATACAGGTATACGAACGCTAGGCCAACAGAACAAATCGCTTATCTCACACCAGATGTATACTGAGATCAGATTTTAAATTATCAGTTTGGCGTAAAGTGATGATATAAGCGCCGCTTTGCAAATGGCGAGATGTACTTTCAAAGCATTTAGAGACTTACCTTGAACGCATATTTCATTATACCTTGATCGTACAATTTAGACGCGGCCTCAGCATGCTTCAGCCATAATTGATAAAGTTGCTTCGATGTCATTCCGCGATACTCGAGACTTGTTTCAAAAAAATATAAGAGAGACATTGCGAGTATCAATGAAAGTAGATCCCCAAAAAATTTCAGTCTACGTCAGCTCTGCCTCTACCACAACAAATGCTATGCTGATGCCGTGTTGTGCTCGTTATAGCAGGATAGCTGTTTTAACGCAGATTAATTTTTCGCCGAATTTGTTCCTGAATTGAGTTGCGGTTGACTGATTTTTGGTGAATGCTTTTAAGATAAGTGTTGTTCTTATAGTTACGAGGCAATGGGTTACTATTTAATGAGGGAAGTTCATAAATGGCAATCGCTTTTAGTACTCCAATCTGATTGGCCCGGCCAGAAACTTGAATGCTATATTTCATGTACCGAGCCTTTTGTTGGGTTCTCTAGGGTTATTCAGATGTCCATATAAAACATCAGATGTTAACTCAAAAGGGCTTTCTGTCATGAGAATGTCCAGTTCCACAACAATTGTATACCAGCTTTAGGAAACTAGACCGAAGTTTCATTAAAGTTACGATATTACGATATGTTTTTGCATTGTACTTGGCCGGCCGGTATTAGCGAGGACAAATGAATATGGTATGAAAAATATCCAGCACATAAGCAATATTTCACCGTTTGTTAATATTCCGCCATACTAAATATTACTCAATATTGCCTTTGACGTACGATAAATGGACTTTAATATATAAAAGACAGTGTTTCTCTTTCTGTCTGTTAATAATAACCAAAGAAATCTTTACCAATACAGACTGGTCATTAGGGCGACTTTTACGTAGCACTAAATAATGACAAATTAAAATCCCTCTATCTCCACTGACTTGTTTCCGTTCCCCCAGTTTCTCTTTCACTCTGGAATTAATCTAAGTGACTTTTTTTTTTTCACGAAATGGACGACTTAGTGTAATATGTTAATATAGGTCTGCACTGTTTAAGTTATTTGTGAAATAGCACAAACCTACAAAAGAATGTTGGCGGTTCTCTTACGAACTGGCTGAGTTTTTTCAATAAAGGTATTGTGCTTTGTTTTATTTAGGCGGCATCACAAAAGGTTTTGTTAATTGCGGTTCCTGCTTTCAGCGTCCAACCATTGTTTATAATCCGGACAAATTGAGATGGGCAAGTAACTAAGTGCATATCCCTTGAATAGACCATTTTTAATTGCCGTCAAAAAATTACAGAAAAGTTACAGAAACTTTTTTGGATAATATTTATTTACACAACGTTTTTCTGGAGGTAATGACGTCTTCAGAACACTTTTCGTGCATAGCAGAAGGCAACAAAACTTTATTCATTCTCACATTTTTTATCCTCAAATAGTGACAACGAATATAAACTTATTGTTTATTCTTTCGTTATACGCTCCGCTTTATTGTTCACGATGTCTCCATTTCCGAGTGTTTGGATGGACGCGCTCTCAGTTGAATTTTCGGCGGTTTCTCAACCATCAGTTTCACTTTAGCCCATTTCTCAACTATCAGTGCATTCAGTTGCGGATCTCAGATCTCACTTTTTTTGAGGACTTGTTTACTGAGCGGCTTGTGCGTTTACTTGATGTAAAAATACATTTACTAGTTTAAAACTCTCTCACTAACTGTTCTTATCAGCAGCTGTCTGATCTAGAGTTTTATCATTCGTACAAGAACAAGTAAACGAAACTGAGCAATTGGCCATGTTTAACAGAAAATAAGCTTATACATGATTTTTTTTCCACTCATCATATCGTTCACAATCTCGCATTTCCTTTGATGTTATTTCTGAGCATTTGGTTGTGCTCCGGAACCCCTCTCATTGGACCGGTACCCGCTTAACACGGACACAAAATTCAGAACTCCGTCAAACTTTGACATAATACAATTGATGAAACTTCTACAGGTAAAAAATTCAGCTTGTTGGAATGAGGAATTGCGAGTTTGAGTGGCTTTTGACATTTTTAGTGAAACGCTTTTTTGGAAGAATATATTTGATAAGAATATCGATATTGAAATTTGCGAAATTGTAAGAATATTTTAAGCTGATAAAACCGAGACTGAGATTTTGAAAAGAATACAATTTTGTTTCTTGGAAATTTGAAAATACAATACAATTATATGTTCTTAACCAAACCATATAAAATTCTCCCTTTCTCTAAACGGCGAAACTAGCCAAAAAACAGCTAGCACTAGCCTTAAGCTCGTTGCGAACAACATTTCTGCAAGCTAGAAAGTTATGTTTGTTATCAGTGTACACTTGTAGTTGATACCCCAGTATATTCTTAAACGAAAATGCCATACACTATAATCTCAGACAGGCGCTTTTGTCTAAGATTATTCACAAGAATATTTTCAGCCAGGAGCCATAATCGGGGACGGAGACCGTAAGTCTCGGGATTCGCGCGTACCTATGATATGGGACAA